ACCCTAACCTAACCTAACCTTACCCTAACCCTAACCAAGATCTCGAGCCGGCGAGTCAACTTTTTCTTCGCATCTCAGACAGGAAGCACCCGCCCCCCCCCCTCTCTCCATGCAGGGGTTGGGAAACGCGTACCTCCCCGCAGCAATCTTGGTTCTCGCGGGCTCGCTAGCTAGGCCTGCCTCTAAGCCCCATCCTGTAGCACCAGCGGCGGCGGGAGAAGCGTCGACGCCACCGGCTGCGGTGGCGTACCAGCCAGAAACCAAAGCGGCCTTCTACAAGAAGGTTCGATATATGTTTTTCAAGGTTGATTGTTATTGCTTGCAGTATTTCTTGTGGAGGTTGTCTGTTCGTATGGCGTGTGTGTTCGCTGCCGCAGTCCGTTGTTCTGCACTGTTGAAGAGTTTTTTGTTTTTTTTTGCAAATCAGCGGTGCTCACGGCACGTGTGCCGTTTACACCAACACACAGGAGGGTGGTTGCTCTCCCTGAGGTCCCCTCCCCTCCCCTCCCCTCCTGCGGTACTTTGCCTTCGATTTTTAACGCGAGAAGAGTGCAGCACCCAAGGTTGGCCGTTGTTTTCCTCACGAGGGAGATACCGTACGTAGGTTGCATGACGTAAGATAACACACCCCCTGTACCAATTTTCAAAGCACGATTACTCCACGGACGAAGAGGATGCCGAACCCAAAGAATACGTCGTCGGAAAAGCTCTCTCGACTAGACGACGGTTCGAACGCCTACCGCCATTTTCGGCACCGTCGCTGCTTTTTCCTGGCGAGATATCGAGCTTCGAAAATCGGTCCAGGGGGTGTGATATCTTATGCAACCTACGATACGTGAGTTGCGGTAGTCTGTTGTTCTACTTACAAGCGTAATTTTTGTTGCAGGCCTCTGCTGTCGGCTGAAGTATGTACGTCTCACACTCGATTTCGACAGCTCTCAACTTGATGCTCCTGTTGTTATCGTTCGACACGTCCTCGACTTGTTTTCACTTGGTGGGGGCGGGGGCGGGGGGCGGGGCGCCCGGGGGGGTAGACGCAATACCAATACAGTGGAGTTTTTACGGTACCCCTCGAGAGAGCCAGAGCCTGACATTCGGCCGTTGGTTGCTGTGGCTGTTTTTTTTTTTTTTTACGGGTTGAGGTGTTGGTGGAGGTGTGTGCTGGTGACCTCCTTGGTTGTTGGCTCTATTATGCAAAGCAGCTGCTGTTGCTGCTGGTCGAGTTGATATGGTGTGGTCGTTGTTGTCGTTGTCGCCGTCAGTCTCTCTTCCTTAGGAGCCTGGTTCCCGGGTAACCTAACCCTGACCCTAATCCCTTGATAATTGACACCACCCCTTCGCGAGTAAATGAAGTTCACGAGGAAACAGAACAGGGAGGACCCTAGTCCCTAAAACCCTAACCCTAACCCTAGCCCAGCTTCCCCGATTGCATGCTTCATCCAACATGCTTACTTAATAGAAAAATCCTGCTAAGGCTACTGGTGTTCAAGTCCTTTCTTCAGTTCTCTCTCCTCCCTCCCTCCCTCCTTCCCTCCCCCTCTCCTCCCCATTCTCCTCGTCGCCGCCATCCCGGGAGCAGATCGCGGCCATCATGGTGTCGAGGTTCATGGTGATGCCACTGGTGGCGGCTATGCTTCTCCTGTCCGGCGCCAAGGCCAAGCTAATCCCGTACGACAAGCTGGTCTGGTTCGTCCTCCTCATGGAAGGGTGAGAGCTAGAAATAGAAGAAACAAATAATTCACGAGTACTGTAGGGAATACGAAAAACGTCCATTTCAAGGAGCAAAAGCTTGTTGTGAAACTTTTGCAGGGGTTTGTGAAAGGAATAATTTTACAACCTAGACACCTATGGTGGCGTATTTTTGTTGGGTACGACAATCTGATCTGGTTCGTCCTCTGCATGGAAGGGCGAGAGCGAGAAAAAAGAGAACAAGGGGAGAAATTTGTTGCTTGTAAACAGCACAACGTTTCGTTGCATGCATACTTGTATTATTTTTGGATGAAGAATGTTTTTTGAAAGGAACCCCCACAAACTCAACTCCGCTGTCTGCTGCTGCGAAGTGCTTACGCCCGAGGCTGTACTTGTGTCCATGTGTTGCAATCTCCACTACCTCCGGTGCCCCCCCCCCAAC